GCTAGCGGGACGTGGAGGCTAGCGGGACGTGGAGGCTAGCGGGACGTCTCCCTGTGACTGTGAATGCAGAAAACAATTCTGTGAGCGTTTGTAAAGAGGTTAGACGAATGCCCAGCGTGTAGAAAGCCACTCCGTGTTGCTGCCATTGCCCTCATGGGACAAGACACAGCAACAGCATCTCTCCGAGGGAGAAAGTCCCAGAAATTGTTGTTCTCACGAGCTAATGCTTATGAATTTGGCTGGCACTGTGCTAACGTGTGGTAAAGGTAGTCACCTTTCTTTTTCCAATTTCCTTTTCCGTTCCCTTCTGATAGTATCACTGAGGAGCTTCCTGCAAACAAAATCCCCTGTCATTCCTACATAATCATCTGCTGGGCAGTTCTGTTTTCCTAAGGATTCTCTTCTTGTTGATATTTAATACCAAAGATTCAGAGAGTGTTTGTCCCATGAAACTCAGAGAGCAGACAAGCTGTCCTTGTGTTCACCGACTAGCTGAGAAAGATTTGTGGACTCAGCACAGCACTGAGTTCCTATAAGCCTCGATTGTGGGGGGCTAAAGGATGAGGATGTAGGCTCCCAGGCTAGTCCGGACTACACGAGCACTTGTCTCAGATAAGACAAATCAGGAAACTTAAGGTTGTAACTCAGCTGCTAAAGACCTTGCCTAGCGTGCATAAAGCTCCAAGGTCAGTCTCCAACAACACAAGAAGCCAGATGTGGTGGTGCACAGGTGTAATCCACGTACGTGGGAGACGAGACAGGATGATATCAGGTCAAGGTAATCCTCAGGTACAAGCGGAGCTCAAGGTCAGCATCCTGCGCCATGTGAGACCCTGAGGGAGGGAGATAGAGTGGGGGAGAGACAGAGAGACAGAGAGACAGAGAGACAGAGAGACAGAGAGACAGAGAGACAGGAGGAGGAGACTAGGTGCTTTGTGGAACTGTCCAAAGTCAGAGTATATGTTATCTCTGCAGAGCTGACGTCTAAGCCAGATCTCTCTCTGGTTGGGATTAAATTTTCTCCCAAGCCTTTAGTAATACATTTTAATAAATTAAGTGTAACTGTGTAAACTCTAGTAAATGTCATAAATTATCATAAAGTATATGTTAGTATATGTTCAGAATCCTTTCTTTTCTTTCTTTTTTTTTAATGATTATCGAAACAGGCTTTCTCTGTGTACCTCTGGCTATCTTAGTATTAGGTTTGTAGACCAGGCTGGCCTCGAACTCACAAAGATCTGCCTGCTTCTGCCTCTTGAGAGCTGGAATTAAAGGTGTGGGCCACCATGCTCAGTCATGTTCAGAATCTTTAACCTGACTACCATGAATTAGCCATCATTTTCCAAAAAATTTGAAAGTAAGAAGGAAGGACAGAAGGGAGGGAGGAAGGAAGGAAGGAAGGAAGGAAGGAAGGAAGGAAGGAAGGAAGGA